AGAGAGAGAGAGAGAGGGAGAGAGGGAGAGGGAGAGAGAGAGAGAGAGAGAGAGAGGGAGAGTTATTAGGAATATTCACTAAAATAGAATAAAACTACTAATAGGAAACAATTAATTTTCCTAATAATATTAAGGATAACGTTAAAAAAATTATAAAGTAGACAAATTTTGATCTCCAATTAAATAAAAAGCGCATTGAATATTGATAGAAAAAGATTTTATTAGATTTATCTTGAAAAAGCTTTTAAAAAATTATACCCAGTATCATTGTATTAAATTGCAATGTACAGAGTAAGTTTTAATTAGTTGATGGCTTGATGCCTAGTTCGATTAGTTTGATTCAAAAAATTAAACTAGACAAATATGCTGAAACATAGGGGTAATTCTTTTATATACTTGCGGTTTGCTCTAGACTGATGTCTTGGTTATACTGGGAGTTGGTATAGAAAAAAAATGTTCTAAGGAGTTGGTATTTCTGCTCATTCCAACAAGTACATAAAGCATTTGTTAATTATATTCACAGTTTTCAGGTTGCTGGTCTAAAGAATCTGTACCGTTGGGACAAAACAATTAAAGATTTATGTTTCTCAGGAAGAGTTAGGGAAGCAATTGGGATTTTGTGCGGCAATGGAGTGCAAGTGGAGTCTGAAACATACTCCCTTCTTTTGCAGGAGTGCATTTTCAGTAAGGCATACAAGAATGGAAGAAGAATTCATTCGCAAATGACTGTTGTTGGTTTTCTTCCTAATCAATATCTAACAGTCAAGCTGCTAATCCTGTATGCAAAATCGGGAGATATGGATACTGCACACATTATTTTTGATAGGTTGCAATTTAAATGTCTTGTCTCGTGGAATGCAATGATTGCAGGGTATGTGCAAAAAGGAATGGAAGAAGTGGGCTTATGCCTTTATTACAAAATGAAACAATGCGGATTGAGACCCGATCAATACACTTTCTCATCAGTCTTTAGGGCATGTGCCTCTCTATCGATTTTGGAACAGGGTAGACAAGCACATGCTATGATGATCAAAAGGCTAATATGTAGAAACGTTGTTGTTAACAGTGCCCTCATGGATATGTATTTCAAATGCAGTAGTCCCTACGATGGGTACCTCGTCTTTGAGAGGTCCTTGGAGAAGAATGTTGTAACATGGACAGCTCTGATTTCTGGATTTGGGCAGCATGGTAGGGTAGTAGATGTGCTGGATTCTTTCCATAGAATGGTCAGTGAAGGCTTTCGACCCAACACTGTCACGTTTCTTGCGGTTCTTTCTTCTTGTAGCCATGGAGGCTTAGTGGATGAAGGCAGAGAGTATTTTTCTTCAATGAAGAGAGATTATGGGATCCAACCAAGCGGGAAACACCATGCAGCCATGGTTGATCTTTTAGGACGTGCTGGTAGATTAGAAGAGGCTTATGAGTTTGTCAAGAACTCTCCCTTTAAGGAGCATCCCGCATTATGGGGTGCTTTGCTTGGGGCTTGTAAGGTTCATGGAAACGTGGACATGGTAAAACTCGCTGCAATGAATTATTTTGAGTTGGAACCAGAGAATGCTGGGAAATACGTTGTCCTTTCTAATGCTTATGCTTCGTTTGGCATGTGGAACAATGTTGCAGAAATCAGGAGAGTGATGAAGGAGTCGGGGGTCAAGAAGGAGCCCGGGTATAGCATGATTGAGGTTCAGAGACAAGCGCACTTCTTCTCTATGGGTCATAATACTCATACACAAACAGGCTTGATATATGAAGTAATCAGGGACTTGACTTGCGTTCTGAGAGACACCGGAGATTTACCAGAACTCAGAAGCTAATGGGAAAACACCATGTTTCGTAGTTCACCTGTGATCCTCCTCAGACCACCCACCCTTTCTGGTGATTAGGCTGTACTAAAAAGAGAATATGCCTTTTTGCTTGTAAGTTTCAATCCATTCTTCAATTGTTATCTTATATTCTGCCATCTTGATGATCTTCTCATTTCTCTGGCCCACAGAGGAGGTGGATTTTGCCAGTTGAAGCAAGCTTCAGTCAGTACATTTGCATGGGGATTGGGAAGCAACAAAAAAAAAGAGAGGAGAAGAGATGCAAAGAACACATAAGAAAAGGGATGATACTCCCTACTTGAGGTAATTAGAGTTGGGCGAGATGCCATTTACTTTAAAGACACATCACTTGCATTTCTAACTTAACCTTCTTTTCTTTATTTTAAAACACCAAATGCTAACTTTAGTTTGGAGTGTGGTAACCGGAGCCTGGATATTTTTATAAATTTATATAAATTCTAGAGTCTGAAGTATGGAGACTAAAAGACTATGTTCTCTTCACCTGATCTGAATAGTTCATAGATCTAGTATGATCTGATTTGAATGTAGTTATATTTAAAATTATTTTTGAACCTAGATTGGAAACCTTTGAATTGGAACCTGAAACTTGATAACTTGAACCTAGATTAAATATAATACATAGAATAAATGTAATTTTTTAAAATAGTTTTAAATATAATTACATTTGGATCAGACCAGATCAGAATTTATTTCAATCAGATCAGAATCACTTAGATCAGGTGAAGAAAACATGGCCTAAGTGATTCTCAAGTTCTAGGTAGGTGAAAAACGTTGAGACTCCGTTTGGTACACGAAATTCAAACTATAAAATTGGAATTAAGGACGACAATTCTAATTCTGCTGTTTGGTAGCACAAAAATATGTGGATTTGGAATTGGTAGTGCCAAAAATGAATTGAAATTATGGCCTGTTTGGGAATTTGGATTTGGATTTGAAATCCAGATTTGATACAAATACCTTGTTTGGCAACCTAAAGAATTTGGATTTGAATTTGATCCAAATTCCCCGAGACCCTACTGTAGTGGGATTCAACTGGGTTGTTGTTGTTGTTCCTCTCATTAATAACCAACCAAATTACAAATTCATATCCAAACCCATGTCATTTGAATTCCCTAGCCCAATTAAAATTAAGTCTCGACATTCACTCCTCTCTCTCGTCCATCGCCGATCCCTCTCGTCCATCGCCTCTCTCCAGTTTGGGTCTTTCATCTCTTTAGATCAAGAGTATCCGAGCGGCTAAGTCTGAATCGCGTCCATCGCCTCCTTCTTCCCTAGCTAAAAACTCCGATCCAGGTATATCTAGAAACCATTTTTTTAACCCTAGCTATGGTTTCCTTAAAGTCCAAGGTTGAGGATGATGAATGAATGAATGTGCATCGGTTTTTGTTCGATTTTTTCCTGAATCACAAAATCAGATTTTTCTGATGGTTTTGAATCTGGTTTCAACCTATTTGCGTCATATGAGTGTGCTTGTGTGCGCCCTTGCATCTGGAATTGTCGGTTACTTATTTTTATATACAACAACAACAACATCCCACTTGAATCCCAGTTTTCATATATCATCAGTTATTGTTGCTATAGTGCAGAGATAAAGTTGGTGTTGGTGGGAACATTTGTGCTTGAATTTTGAACATTTTTTTATGAATCTCGAAGAAATTCCCAAGTGTAATGGAGTTGATTGTGGAGTGTATGTGATGGCAGTGGCCAAGGCTGTTTCTTATTTTTATCTTTGTGACAAATCTATGTTTTCTGAAAAATAGACAAATTTAAACAAATCTATGTTTGCTGAAAAATAGACTACTTTTTCATGCTGAATGTATTAAGGAAAGTGGAAATTTCTTGACCAAATGGGTTTTTCTTGTTTGTGTGGCAGTGTTAGTTGGGTTTTGGTATTACTGAATTGATGAAATAATATTTGATGGAAATAAACACATACAAGATGCTATTGCTGAATCAGGAACACACCTTAAATGCTTATTGGTTCTGATGAAATGATTGATACCCTGAAATGCTATTTAACACCTTACTTCTAAGAGCTCTCACCATGGTGATGGATTTTTACATTAGTGGAATTTTTTTTGTTCCCAAAGGGGTTTTTGTTCCCTCACCATTGTGAGTGCTCTAGTGGTAGCTAAAATAGGTAAAAAAAACTATCTGATTATAGAAATGTTTTCTACACTTTAATAATTGTTTTCCTCTCTAATAACTGTCTTGTTAGGTTTAGTAAGAGAGAATCACACGATATATTTCAACCATTACTATTCTCCATCAACAAGTGCTATGGAGTACATAGTAATTTGTCATGATTTCAGAAAAGGATATCCAAATCATACTGTAGCCTATACTGTATTCTACTTTACTATACTTATATTGGTTGTTTCTGTGTATGGCTCGCCTTTGAAGAGTGTTTGTTTTGTGGGAAATTATGAGTGGGATATTATATTTGCCTTTTTTTACTTTCTCCAATGTTTTGTGGGAAATTATGAGTGGGATAGTAAACCCATTCTCCATCTATCTCAAACCCCTCTTTAAATAACAGTCTCTGATTGATGTTTCTCTTGGGAGAAGGTAAGTTAAATAGTACCAGAAGGGAAAATTGGGAGAAGAATAATTCATCTGCAAAAGATTTCATAAATGGACAATAAAAGGAACAAACAGAAGTAGTCAAAGTAAATAGATTAATAGGAACAGATGGACTAGTCAATTACTAAACTGCTGAGTATTGAATTATCATCCAGCAAACACTATTTTGGATCAGTCCAATGCTGGTAAGGTACGCACCTTGAGATGCATATAGTAGCAAAAGAGACACATAAGCTCTTGGTAAAAAAAAACTGTCTGGATTCAAGTGCTAGGCGTGAAGGAACTCGGTGAGAAACTGGGTGCACTTTGTTTGACTACTATAGGGAGGTAGAAGATCTTGGAAACAGTTTCTGTACTTTCGAGTAGGGATAAGGATTGTGTACACACACCCTCCCAAACCGAAATTTGTAGGATCCTACTGGGTTGTTGCTGACAACATAGAAAGGGTAGGATGGTTGAAGGTTCTGGTTCTCTCCATCTGTCACAGAATGCATGATTGTGGCTCCCATAAGGGAACGGCCGCTTGCTAGGGTTAGATTTTCATCTGTCATAATTTTATATTATTCATACAGCATTATGAGAAACTGCCTGGATTTGCCAGTAGATCAAAGTGTTCTATGCTGTGTTATGTTTAAAACAACTTAGTCCGGGGAGAAAAACTTGCATCCATATAGGCTTTGCCTTCTTGTCTTCTGCTCTACTGCTAGCTCAAGTATGTTAAAGCTGTGTAAACATAGATTTGTTTCCCAGTAGATCAAACTGTTCTATGCTGGCTTTGCCTTCTTGTCTTCTCCCAAAGATGTGTAATTGGTATAGCATTTAAAGCTGATGGAGGGTGTGGGGGGGGGGGACCATAAATTTCATGCTCATTTTCAGCTTTTCCTCTCCTTCTTAGGCTCCATAGCCTTCTGCTGCTCATATAGGTTATGGGAAATATAGGGGGAAAAGATAAATAATAAAAAAATAAAAGTAGAAAGAGGAATCTTTTATTTCCCTCTTGGATCTTGAATAAGCTGAATATGAAGTCGAGGTATGTTTGTTCAAAATGACTGGCCAACCACTCGGTCTAAGCAGCACTATTAATGCGACATATGATCAGTCTCCCCTTAAAGTCAATCATTGTATCTTTTCATTGTGAGGCAAGTAATTACAGTAGTAATTTAATACTCAAAGACTGTTGCCATTGTATCTGTAATATTTGGTGGGAGTCTCTGTAATAATTAACTTCCTAAAATCGAGGTTAGTTAGAATAATTAATGCTTGCTTTAAAATCGTTTTAAATATGTACTCTTATTAAATGTTGTGGCTGTTTTGATTTGAAATTTGTTTGCTAATTTGTTAATGTCCTTAGGTGACGAATAAAGAGAAAGAAGTAATGGCTTTTACACAAGGCAAGAAAAGGAGTTATCTCACTTAGAATGGACAAATGGATGGGATACTCATTTCGGTGTTATACGACCAAATCAAAGAGGGCAACAAGGGCGATGGAGATTGGAAGCCACAAGCTTACCAAGCTGTAGCGGATAAACTAAGGTCTCTGTGTCGAAGAAGGTGAAGAAAGATCGTCTGCCACAGGCAGTTACAAGTTTCGCGAACTCATTCAACGAATATGTTCAAAGCAAGATCAATATGACTTCAAAGGCGAGCATGAAAGAAATCCATGACGTTGTTTCAAAAGTGGATGGCATACTTTGTCATCAAATGTTGAAAGCTGTTAAGAAGTTTATGAATATGCCAGATGAGTTTCAAATGCTCAAGGACTTGCCTGAAGACGAGAAGCTAGATTGGATTTTGTTGTGCTTGGAAGAGTGATCGAATTACGAACAACTACGCAATATTAAATATTTACTACAAATTAATACTTTTTCTAATTGTCATACATTAGTATGTATTTTGTTTATGAAACAATTGGTCATTATGTTATTTGAGATTATGTTTACAATATTTTATTCATTAAAGATTTGAAATGAAATTCTAGTACTTGCCAAACAGCATCAAAATTTGAATTCTAGAATTGAAATTATGAATTTCCCAAGAATTTCTTGTGTTTGCCAAACACCAAATTGGAATTTGAATTATGGAATTTCAAATTATAGAATTGAAATTCAAAAATTGAAATGAATTCCCCTATCCAAACACTACCTTAGAGAATTTAATTCCTTCCAAATCAAATCTTATAGAATTTGAACTCTCAATTCAATTCTAATTTCATCAATTTCACGTACCAAATGGACCTCGAGAACAAATTTTCAAAAATATTTTATGGAGTTCAGTGAATGTAATTATCATTATTTATTATTGCATGATGTTCATTACATGATTAATATATGGAGTACACGATTATTATGATGCACTTTTACATTAATCAAATGTCTTTCAAGGATATCATATTGTCAAGACTTAACTGAAATAACACAAGAGATCAATAGAAAAGGATTATTAATCATTCTTTATCTTATCTTGAGGATTACTTACTCCTACATTCCCTCCCCCCCCTCCCCAAATCAATTTTTTGTTCTTACAATATTTGATTGAAATTATTTTTAATTCAACTTATTTAAAAATTAGTGTGAAATTAAAAAAATAAAATTACATTAAAAAATTATACGAAACAAGAGGTGATAGGACTATTATTTTATCAACACTTAAACAAAAATATATAAAAAAAATTAGATAAAGTTTGACTTTATGAACAAGGAACGTGAAGAAAATTTTTGGACAGACATAGTATTACAAATATTTAATTTCGTGCTAAAAACATACTCGTACTACGGAGTATTATTTTTCATCTAATAATTCATTAATTTTCATGTAGCAAATTCTCCATCTTCATCAATATGGAACTACTAATTTATGTTGTTTATAATAAAAAGGTTCAAATAGTTCGTTACATAAATTTATTTTTAGATGCTATTTTTAGTAGACAAATCATAAAAAATTACATTAAAAAGTTGCTTTAACTCCTTGAAAGAGGATATTAAGCTTATATGCGTAAAATATGACTTGTTAAATTTTAAATTTGAGTTAAGACCAATATCAGCCCATTACAGATTGGCCTTTTTAAGAAAAGTGGGCTTTTGAATAAAATTTGAGAATTAAGCTCGACCCACACAAATTAGCGGCATATGTGACATTTTTCCAAAAAAAAAAAACGACCGTCTTGAGCTGATATAAGAGCGAAAAAAAAGGAAGAAAGGAGAAGAGAAGGGACAAAGCAATGGGGCAGTCATCATCCGCCGACCGGCCGTCGCCGGAGCAACTGGAAGCGGAATCTCTAGCTGCGTCCACCGGAGCACTTCCGACGCTCCAAAAATCATTTTCTATCCTCTCCGATCCCCAAACGAAAACCGTCCCCGTCGGTTCGCTCCAGGTGCACTACCAGTGTATATGATCAGAGATCGTCAGACTTTTAATCCTTTTGTCAATTCCGTCGAACACTTCCAATATATATCGGTGTAGGTTATTTTTTTCGTTATTTGATTTTAGTTTTCATTGGTCACAGAAATGTTTCCTGTTTACCATCGAGAACTCTGAGAACGAAGGAACGTGTGTGCCTAAGGAATTTCCCGTTTTGCTGAGTCATCTGAGCTCTTCTATAGTTGACCTGTTCTTCTTGTCTGAAAAGGGAGGCGGAGTGAGCTGGGTTGAGTTCTTGAATGGCTATTCTAGGTGTTGTGGGAGGACAATTGGTTCCACGTCAATTAATAATTTGCTTAGGGTTTTTTCTTTGATGAGTTCGAAAGCAGGTCTTCCTGGAAAACTGCAATTTGTTCCCGGTGAAGATGAATGCAAAGCCAATGGGTATCTATTGCCAGTTGATGTATTGATGCTTCTTTGGATGTGTTGGGTTATGTGGTGGGATTGTAAGAAGCTGAAATCTACTGAATCTTTGGGGTTTCCCGGGCTACCAGATGTTACTCATTTGGTATTGTCATCTATTGAATCATGTGTCGAAGATGGAAGCACTAAATTGGACTTATGGGAGTGTTCAATTTCTGAAACCAATGTTCAGCTTCCTGCTGCTAAGATCACTATGTGGGCCTTAAAGACATTTCCATACCTCGCAGATTGTCTTTCACAATTTCTTCAAATTAGACTGTTTTACTTGGCAACCCACGAGGTATTCCATTTCCAATTTTTTGTTTGGGAACAGACCTTTTAGATTGGATTGAGGGGCTAATTGTTTGTATTACCTAATGCTAGGACAAATCAGAGCAGGGATTGCCTTTTGTGATTGATATTTTCCCAAAGGAGAATCCTGTTAGTAACCTCCTTACTAGTGGAAGGGCCTGGGCAATCTCACTTACTTTGAGGGACACTATGAGGGATGAAATTTCAAAAGCATGCTTTTCAAGTAGCGCAGATGAGATAAACGAAATCATCCTCTATCGGTTTGTATACTATTGTATTCTACTATTTTGACTTACAACTACCTTTTCCAATAATATGCATTTTAAGGACTAGAGAAAAGCCATGCCTCTAGGATTCAATGTGTGATAAGCTTCTTGTATTACAATCAGTTCTTTTACAAGAATGAATCTTCATATACCTATTTCAGCTTTTCCTTTCTCAGAGTTGAGATTCAAGATAATTCTGATAGTCATTTAAAAAAACAGTCTTTAAGCCCTCGTTTTATCGGAGGACCTTGGATGGGAGGGGGAAGACAGTGGAGAGTGTTGTGTGTTTGGTTAGGGGAGTCAGGAAGGAAGGTGAAACTGAAGAAGCTATGTTTTTTCCCAATTCCCCTATTCAATGGATATTGGAGTGATATTTTCTTAATTTCCTTGTATTTTTTTTATCAAGATTGTTTTGGTGTTCGAATTACAATCAATTATATCAAATGTATGGACTATTTTTTATCTATTATCTTAATAAAACTCCGTCCCAATTTATTGTGCATGCTATTTTTTTTGTTCCATCCCAATTCAATGTGATTGTTCTCATTCAAAGAAAGTATTATGGGGTTCACAATGTTACTCTCTTCTTTGCATATTTTTCAATCATATTGTTTTCACTTTGTTAATTGGGACGGAGGGAGTGGAGTATTTCCTTACATCTTTTTTAACCAATTGAACCAAATAAGGGCCAAGTGTTTTACTTCAGAAAATTACAATTTAGATGAAACTCAAGTTAACAAAAAAAACCCTTATGGTGACAAAAAGTTAAACACTACATCAAAATTTTAAGGATGAATAATCTCTACCCCATGTAATATGTAAAACAATTTCAAAATTTATGCAACCATTTTCTCACTCACAAGCATGATAAAAATTTCTCTGCCGGAATTATCAATTTGCTGAAATTGAAATCCTACATCCCCAATGCATTAGCAAATCACATCTTTTTTTGTTCTATTTTATTACTTATTTCTATTTCATTTTGAGTTGATTCTAATGCTCTTTGATACGTAGTACTCCTAGTATTTAATCATGCAATTGCTTGTATAGATAGTCATTAATTGTTATTATTTTCTTGTAGGTCTACTATTAACCATAATTTAATGTTTTTCCTCTGGTTTTACTAAATCCTTTTGTTCATGCATCTTCTCTAAAATATAGGTCATCAATCCATGGGAAAGGTCTAAACAGATTTTGGTCAAAAACTGAAGGCTATAACGGTCCATTGCTGATTTTGGTTGCTGCTTATGAGCCTAAAAATGCCACAAGGAAATGGATTATTGGTGCCCTCATTCATCAGGGTTTAGAGAACAAGGATTCGTTTTACGGAACATCTGGTAGTTTATATGCTATCAGTCCAGTGTTTCATGTTTTGTTGCCTTCAGGCAAGTAATTTTCTTGCATATTTATATATGTGAATAAACTGCCCCCACTATATACTAACCATGGGAAATACTTTGCGATTGGTTAGGGAAGGAGAAAAATTTTGTTTATAGCCACTTGCATCCGACTGTTAGGATGTATGAAGCTCATCCAAAGCCCGTTGGAATTGCTTTTGGGGGATCTCCTGGCAGTGAGAGAATATTTATTGATGAGGATTTCACTGTAATCACTCTACGCCATCACGCCTGTGACAAAACCTATCAGAATGGTCCCCTTTTCCCTGGACAGGTTAGCAGTTAGCCCCCTTCCCTATAAAAAAAAGTATACGTCATCTTGCTCTTCCCATTTGGCTTTATAAAATTAGCGTGTTTTTCCTAAATTGACATTGCTTTTATTTTAATAGAATGAACATAGTAAGGGTATTTTATGAAGAAGTGGAGTGTTAATAGCCAAATTTGAGTGGCAATAGCATATCCCATATGTAGGACGCATGTTTGTTTCATGGAATTTAGGGGGTGGGATTATGAATTCCCATCTCACACTCAAATTTCTATATGTGTTAGTGGAATGTGAAACAAAAGTTGGGAGTCGGAGTGGGAGTGGGATTAAAAGCTCTTTATTCTCCACAAATATAGAGAGACAGAATAGCCATTAAGGCATTAATGAAGGGAAATGAAAAGACCATTTGTAATGGTAGTTTAGAAAATCTATATTTATTCTCAATACTCATCAAACAAGGGAATGATGTTATTTTAAAGTTCCTCATTAACAATTCCCACTTCCCATTTTACCCTCCAATTCCCAAACCTCAAAATCCCCGCTTAACAAAGGCCCCGTTTAAGCTTGCCTGATAACTCTTGCTCAGAACACTTGTGGATTTCAATTTTCAAAGCCCCCACATACTTGAATGTATACTATTTGGTCTACAAGTCACTGAACTGTACATTATCTTTAAATCTTTACTGACATCTTCAATCTTCGTCTTTTATTTGGCCCACAGGGATTCTTGCCACTTGAAGCTTCAATAGTAGATGTTGAGGCATGGGGATTGGGAGGGGAAAAACCCAAAGAAATGCAAACAGCTTATAAGAAAAGGGAGGAAATATTTACTCAGCAAAGGAGGAAGGTAATCATTCCCCTTCAATAAGTTGATTCTTCAGATTTCTAAGCTGTGAAGGGTTTGTTTGGGAACAACTTTGCAATTAGTCTTTAAGTAATTTTTTAATGGTGCTGATTAGCATTTAAAAAATCTAAAGCTAAATGTTGTCCCTGGACAACTTTTCAAAACACGAAAGTTAAATTCTAGCACCTGATGCCAAACAGGGGCGAAGTTTAAGGGTGATAATGCACAAATGAATGTTTGACATATTACTGCACTTCTTTTTATAATCCTTGTAAGGCTAACTGAGAAAAGGAAAATGCATTCATGAAAAGACTGTATACAATTATGTTTCCATGGCAGGTTGACTTGAAAACATTTGGAAGTTGGGAAGACTCCCCCGAGAAGATGATGATGGACATGGTCACTGATCCCAATGCAATCCGCCGTGAAGATCGATAATCGGTGGCTGCCCCTCACGTTTCATATCAATTAACGTTGTACCTAGTACCTAGTACAATGGTGTGCATAAATAAATCCTCATAAAATAACAAGTGTTTTCAATTCGACGTGTAATCTTGCCCTTCATCAATCAAAGCTCCAAACTGAACTAGCTAGAATAAAGAAAGAATACCCTTTGTATTTCTCTGCAGTTTGAATCAAGCAAAACCAGCACACAAAACAAACGTGCAAGAAGACATTGATATGGTATTACACGATGTATAACTGAAGAAAACACTGATAACTCTCCCTCTCTCACTCAGGACAACAAACATCCTCCCACAAATGAAATCCAACACAAGAGAAAAACAAAAGTATGGGCAAAGTGGTAATTTACATGAAAAAATTAACACATCTCTTTCTACATCAATCTCCCTCTCATGAGGAGAGATGGTGGTGGTTGTCTGAAGTACTTGATCCATTGACTCAAACATAGACAACTACTGCTACCAGTAGTTTGCTTTTGTTAGGATTTCACCTCTGCCACCTCCTCTCTGCAAGGCAAAACCATTTCAGAAAGCATGCAAAAAGGGTCTTACATTAAAGAAGAAACAAGAGGGTTAGAAAATACCATGGGGGGAAGTAATTTCGTTTCCTTTGGAATTCTGCTGCGCCTGGGACAAAGACCGTTCAATACGAGGTGATCGCTGCCTTCCATTTGAACCAGGCAGAGAATGCCGCTTTTTAACTTGGTACGTTTCCTTGTTATGAGCATCTGGACTTGATCTTGGCGAGTTGTTTAAGATGGCCTTGGCTTTTGCTGACTCTGTAGCTTGCATGTAACTTGGGAGAGAACCACTGGCATTGCTATCTCTATGCTCCTGCTGATCCACTTGCTGTTCACTTTTTGCAGATCCAAATGATTTTCTTCGTTTCCCGCTTTTATGATCCTTATTATTGTCAGCACTAGACTTTGCTGCTGATGCGTCTTGGTTAGGATTTTTGCTGTTTGATCCACTTTTTTCACTTCTTCTGGCTTTTGGTTTTACTGAAGATGCCTTTTTACTAGAAGGTGGTGTGCCTTGGGATTCAGGAAAAGTTACATGGCTTCTTGGAGATCCAACCTCCATCTGCTCAGCAACCACATGCATCTCTGGCTTCTGCTCATCATTTGGAAGTTCATTTTGTGAAATTGTCTGCTCACGCGTGTCAATATCCAGATCTTCATTCCTCATATGCTGATGCACTACAGCAGTATCCATGGAAGGAGTCTTTGTTTCCTGCTCATACTCTTGAACTTTAATCTCATACCTATCTGGTGAATCAAGTGTGGAAGATATGGAAAGTTCTGTGCTGCATTCAGATCCTGCAACTAAAAGTACAGATGTGTGCAAACTGGAATTCTTGATGAAATGCTCGGTTACATTATTCGGGGGAGATGAAATTGCATCAGTGAAATACTCTGTTCCAGTTTCTTGATTGGTCAAACTGGTCGTGTTCACTGCTGAACCAACTGACAAACTCAGTTCTTCAGATTTTGACTGGCCAGCAATGAATGTGAGATTACCACTTGCATTTCTAGATCCAAAAGAGAAGTTATCCCCATCCAGTTTCTCAGTTTCAGTCTTATCCGGGTAAGAATAGTTTCCTCCTGTCGAATGAGTAGTAGTATTATCCTTTGAACTTGATGGGCAAGGGAAAGAACCCAACTCACAAATGAGACCCTGGGTCTGAGTATCTTCCAGCTTGTAATGAGTTTCTTGAACAGATAAACTGTCTGCATCATCACTGATAGATCTTTCTGGTGGTACTACCGATTCCTTTCTACTAGATCCATTATTAGTTGCAGATGGAGTTTCAGTAAGAGTCAAGTGTTCAACCACTTTCTTTTCTTCCAGCTGCTCAGCAGGTGTTTCTGCAATTGGGGACATCCTTGTTGGAACAGTCATCCATCTCTCTAACCATAGCCATGCTGAGTCAGATTTTGAAGGATCACACTTGATATTTATAGTTTTGGCTGTTGGAGACGATGATTCCAGAAGCTTCCCGAAATAATAAGAATAAAGCAAGTCAGCTTTCATGGGGAGCAAACAGAGGGTGAAAATGGGCACGCATGTAATTTAGCACGACTGCCATTTTACCTGACGAGCAAAGCTATTGCTTAGTATTTTTTCCATGGAACCGTTAGAGCTTCGGACCTTTTTGCTGGACTGTTCCATTCCCTAGCGACAGATGGAATATCAATTTAAAATTATTGCTGAGCAAATGATAGCGCTAGTAATGCATATGACATTATATCTTTTGAGTTGTGAGATTCAACAATTAATCTATTTATATATCTGAAAGGAAACTGCATTTTGACACGAAGAGGGGACATACTTGAATGGAATAAGGCTCACAGTTAAAGAGCATTATTCTATTATACAAATTGTATAGTGAACTCTCTTCATCCCTTTATTACCGACCGGTTTGACCGGGCACAAAGTTCCAAATTTGAAAATATGGTTGAAATTTATTTTGATGAGAAAAATAATGTGAAGTACATATCTTAAAAAGGAAATGGGGAAAAAGTAAAGTTTGAGGGCAATAAGGGAAGGAGTAAAAAGGAGTCATTGGATACAAGTTGTATAATGAACTAAAAAGTAGTCGTATATGTACAATTCAAGTTAACTATCAAAACTGTCAATCAAAATCTGAAAACCCTTTTTTTTACAAATAGTTTTCATACTCCGCAAATTTATTTTTAGTTCTAAAAAAGCATAGAGCACAAAATGATAAAGAACAAACCCTTAACTAAGATTCAAAGTATAGCCTCAGATTATAATCATGACATGTATTTACTTACCAAATTTGAAGATTTATGGTCACGGCGAGCTCTAACGAGAGCTTGCATTTTAACGATAGCTTGAACACACCGCAGAGTTCCCACAGCTTGCCTCCTAACCACATGTCCACGTAGAGCAGCTTGCAGTTTGACTGCATTCTTGTGCTTCATTAGTGAGTTTTGAGCCTATAGGAAAGTAGAAACAAAACCATTATATAACAAAACACCATCTGCATTGTGCCTATGTATTGGTTCCATCATTTCTTTTAGCATTTGTTTGTTTGAAGAGTAAAAGGGAATTAGAAGAGGAGAGAAATTGCAATTTTCCCTAGTTTGGTTTGCAATGAAAATGGAAAGATCATAACCTTGTCTTTATCTCCTCTCATGCGAAGACATGGGGAAAAATCCATTTTTATCTCTCCTTTTTATAATTTGTATCATTTTTTTTACTTTTGGGAGTGTTTTTATCTTTTCAATAATAATGTACATTTCTTTCTCTTCTTTTTCTGTCCCAACCAAACAAATAAAGCCATGTATGGAGGATTACTTAAAATGAAATAGAACAAAATATATATACCAGAAACCCTCTGACAGCAGCCTGTATAGCAATAACATCTGATTCCTTTGGGGCTAGCTCATCGTTATGATCATCCATTTCACTAGAAGCACTCTCCACTGATTTTTTCTCCACAGAAATTGGAGGCTGTGGCTCCTCATCAGTACACTGAACAGGTTCTTTAACATAGACCTTCTCTGCAGCAACAGGCAGTGGTTCGGTTAAATAGGTCTTGTCTGGAAGGTTGGAGCTAAGTTGTTGATCAGTGGAGGTTGTCTTGTCTGGAATGACAGAGTCAGGTTGTGTTTGAGAGATGATGGGAGCTGCATCTGGGCTGTCTTTCTTACCAGGTTGTGTTTCTGCAATTATCACTGTGTTGCTCAAAACACGGTGCCTTTCAGATCTCTTCCTGAAACTCCATCCTCTTTTATCACTTGAACACTTGGACTGGGAAAAAAAACAATTCAAATTTACACAATGAGCACATAAACTCCAAATGCCATTTCTTTTTAAATTATGAATGGATTCCACACAATGATCTAGGTAATTTTGATTGGTTCTGTTTTGAAGCAGAACACCCATAATTTTTCACCAGTGGTATCTTTATCAACAACATGCTTATTAAAAAGCAAGATCCATTAATGCACTTAAATCCCAACTTCCAAGCCGAATCAGTCGAAGCAATTTTATGTTTCTCCCAAATGTCTCTTCTACTTTCCGTCCTATTTTCATTCCCTAACATTTCCCGAGCTCCAAACCAACCACAAAAGGTACAAAATTGTCTTCTTCACATGACACCCTAACCTAAATGCTGTTGATAAACGTTGTTGTAAGGTTGGTTCCATGCCTAATATGTGTAACCCCGATATGATTGTTTGATATATTGAGCTATCTAGAGCCCACATGAAGTTGAAGGCCATGTTAATAAACTGACAAAGAAGGCAAGCTCATAATGGGGAGCTGCCATGATCATAGATCTCTATAGCAGATCAAAATAAGATAATCACAAGTAAATGATCACTCAAGATAGCACCTCCAGCAATGCATTCAATTCGAAATCTTCAAATGATTTCTTAAAAAAGGGAAGGGACAATTTCATGTCAATGTGAAGAAGCAAAACAGTGACCGGATCATTGCACATTTCATTAATTAATGCCAAAGATAGATAGATCTTAGCTGCAAATTTGGAAACATCTGAGCTGCAGAACAGGCAGCAAATCCACCAATTGGCAGAAAACCAAAGATGGATCCGGAAATTGAAACAAGACACAAAAAAACAAACATCTAAAGGATTATAGTATGTATACCTCAGGAGCATCAAATCCATCACTGTCAGCCGAATCAGAGGCGCAAGTGAGGATCTTGAAGCAATTTGATGCGGATCTTCCCATTCTACCCCTCTATCTCTGGCTGGATGTCTTTCTAAGTTTCAACCAGAGCACAGTGAATGGGTATGGTGTTTTCGTTGTTGGGAATTGTACAGGCAAAAACCGTCAACTGGAGGAGAAGACTAAAAAGGGAGCACCGGGTTGGGCGGACATCAAGGCACTCCTAGAATCTAGCTCAGTCGCCTGCTTCAAATCCGGACTCACCTAGCCAGCCAGCCAGCCATAGACGAAGTAGAGCTGGAAAATGACAAAATTATATATTTTGCAGCTGTCTGATCTTTCTTTCTCTATTTAACTCACTCCCTGCGTCCTCCTCCTCATCCTCATATTAAGCCTGCCGGCCATATCCATCTCCATCCCCAGAAGTTACACTCATGGTAAAACTCAAGTCATGCGCCCTTCTTCCCAAAATAGGGGAATGGTTGATTTACCATTTCAAGAATGCACTACTATTCTGAAAACTGGATTAAAGTTTGTGCTCTTCCTCTCATTGATTCTTATCTAGTCGTTTTTAAAGTTGTTTCTGGTCTAATTTGATTCTAATAAGAATAACTAATACTCCCTTCGACCCACAAAACATTATCCATTTTGAATAATACTTGTCTATTTGGTCAAAAAAATTATACACTTTGACTACAAGTTGTGAGAAAATGTATATTGAATTATAGTATAGATTTAATTTAATTGGATTAGGATCAAGTTTTGATATATCAAATTTTATAACATTTCTTTATTTAGATTATATCTAATTTATGGTCAAAGCGTGTAACTGTTTTACCAAAAATACATCAAAATGAGTAATGTTTTGTGGGGCGGAGGGAGTAAGTAATTACGGTAAGTTAAAGAGAATAAACTTTAATTCGTTGATTGAATCGCCTCAACAACCCGATCAACATATGGATATTTATTGTCACGAGTTAATGTATCTTTATATACCATGTAGCATTTCAAACTTATATTTCATTCATTAAAATAATGAAAAAGCAAGAAAAAAAATAAATTATAGAAAACTAAATTATAACTAGTACGAGTACAAATTATTTCATTTTTAAAGATTAAACAAATTTTAAGAATAAATGATGCATATTTTTTTAATTAAAAATAATATCATTCATTTCTTCTTTTATTGTTGTTTTTAAGTATATTTTTAAAGTTTGTAAAAAATAGATAAATTCTTAAGGTTCATGTTTATTTTATAAACTTTAGTATATTGATATTATAAAAGAATTGAGCATTTTGCAAAAAAATAAAAAATCTATTTATCATCTCATAAAAAGTGTAAGAAAGTTCACTATTCAAATATGCGCCTTGGAACCATATAAGAACAACTCTATAAGATAAGAATAAATTAGAACACAACTAGGACTCGAGGAGTACTTTCAAGATAACATAGTAACATATAACACACGGATTAGTTAACGAGTGTTTCATTAGTTCAGTTGACTAATTATTTATCTTAACCCCAGTAGAAAGAAGATGTTGAGTTCAACTCAACAACTAGCGGTGAGAAAACTATGCAAATTATACTCTTTGTAAGTGAGTCTCAGATTAGAATTTACTCCGTAATTTACATTCTCGAGGATGTACTACTCTATCTAATTAATATACGAAATATATTTTATTTAATTATGAGTCAAAAGTTGAAAATGATTGATTAAAAACAGTCAAAATTGGACAAATAATCAAAGAAAGATGTAGTATTATAGAGATAAAAACTAAAAGAGTAAAAGCATGTTGATCATACCGGTCTGATCAGAAACTATCCGATTTGAACCAGAATTATGTCGGTCTCAATTCAATGTACGATCTGAATATTTACTAGTTTAGCCTGGAACTAATTTTTTTATGTCCAACTCTCTTGTCGAACCCAGATTTTGTAGACCTCTATCCATAACACATTGCCCAAACTTAATCATAAAAAATTGGTTGAGTGAGGATACTATGGATTACAGGATGAATAATGCTAGAGTCTCAACACAAACTTATCTTTTTAATATTTCACTAGAAATAAAATGTACTCAAATAATAAAATAATATTTAAAATTAAAATCTACAAAACGCAAGCTTGTGAAATTTGTGAATTATTTTTTTGTGGCTCTAGCATTTTCGTTACAAGATTTCCAGTCCTAAGTAGTTGTAATTAAGTACATTGACTTAATTAACACAATCAGCCCGAAATAAGTAAGAATTTTTTCCGTGTAGAATTTTCTCATTATCATCCCAATTATAAATCAAATGATCCAAAATGATTTCACTATTTACACTCTTCCGTGTATTTATATATATAAAATATACTATGTACAAACAACCTTAAAACACGGGACATTATTCATCATTTTTGCTTGGATGTTTCCGAAATTTGATTTTGATTAAATAATCAAATAGTAATCAATTGATTAATTAATTTAATGGATGTGAACCCAGATGCCTTCACTGGGGATGCCTTGATGAACCACGAAAAGGAGATAGTATCCGGGCGGGGCTAATTGACCCGAACCCGGTGCCTCCGCATCAATACGGTACATTTTTTCGCCCGCGGGTTCCGCTTTTCCGGCGTTGAGAATCAGCAACCTTTGATTCATCGAAAACGAGTGCGTGCTGAATGACGGCGAAACCATCGTCACGGTGACCTGATTCGCCTCCACCGCGCCGGAAACCTCAAACCGGACCGAGACCGATTCTCCGTAGCGCAATTCGGATCGCCGGTCGGGCGATAGGATCCGCGGGCGTAGGTTGTCGGATCTCGGATCCAGATACGACGGAGAGAAGGCCTCCAGGCTTAGCTCCGTCGGGAACAGAACTTTCGAGAATTTGTATTTGGAATTCGGGTTACTGCCGGCGACTAGAACCCGGCCGTCGCGGACTAGAATGGCGGTCGAATGGTACAACCTGGGCGTTTTAGTCGGGTTTTGTCGTTCGAATCGGGACCCGATTGGGTTGTCGGGCCGGTATAGGACCGGGTTCAAAACCGGGTTCCTACCCAATTCCCAACCCGCAGTGCCCGCCCCGGCCCCGTTGATGATCAAGACTTCAGCATTTGGTAACGTCACCATATCACCCATGACACGTGGAAATGGCATCACCTGTTATTCGGCAAATATAAAAGTAAAATTTGCACTAAATAGGACTAAAACATAATGACTTTCCCAATGTAAGACTTAAACTTTTTTATTCTCTAAATAGGACTTAATAATGACCTAGTGGAAAGAATAATGTCCAGTAATGATGGACATTTACTTGAATAATGACTACTTGATAATGACCAAAAGTCCTACATTGAGAAATAAAAACATATGGTCTTATATTGGGAAAGTCATTATGTTTTAGTCCTATTTAGGTAAATTTCTCAATATAAAATTCACTATAAAAAGTAAAAAATGTATGATTAAAATATATTTCTTTCATCCACCAATAAACTTCTCGTTCACTATTCACATGGTCAAACTTTACTCACTTTGTTGGCCTATTTTTGTCACTCATTCGATAAAATAATATAGTCATGTCACCTCTAGTTTTGTAGATCTTTTGATATACCAAGTAAATTTATACCATTTTTCATATAAAACGATTTGAAAATAACTTCAGTCAAACATCGTAACACGCAACGGGGGGAAGTTTATTTGTAGACGGAAGGAATAGTATTATACCTCGGTTATCCAATGCGGGTTCGGGTCGGTTATAGTGATCCGAGCGCAAGTATCCAGCGCGCGAACAAATTTGCCACGCCTGGCGCTTTGAAACGCGCCCTTTGGCGAGCCACCACAAACCAACACTTTAGCTCTAGTGGTTGGACCGGTCAAGTTCTTGAGTGGTAGAAGGACCGCAGAACCGGAGCTCGGGTAACACCTCGGGTCACCGCCGGGCACTTCCGGGTACTCGCGGACCACACGGTTCTTAATATAGTCGAACATGATTGCCCGGTTCTTTGCGAATATGAATAGATTCCCGTCCACGTTCAGGAAAACAAACGGGTAAAGATTATTCTCCGCTCCCGGGTCGTTTGTCCGTGCCAGAAAAGGCAGGTTGTAGAGGTTACCCGAAGCGGGCCCGCCCGTCTTCGGGTAAAACTCGTAGGTAGGTGCGCGACGTCCACCGACTATGATTTGCCTGCTATCAGGCAGAACATGATCGGTGGCGTACCACCGCCTTTGTTTCAGCCCGTCATTGATTTCTTCCCAGTCGCAGTTCGCGTCGTTGCAGGGCTTGAAAAGCCTGACGACGCGTTCTCCGGGCCCGTAGCCCCCTGTCTGGACTAAGACGCCAGACGGGGAGACTGACCCAGAGGAGCACCAGAGGTTGGAGAGGACGACGAGGGGACGGACGGAGTTGGACGCAACGTCGTACTCAACGGAATGAGCGGTGCAGTTGTCGATCACCGCTGGGTCGTCGTCGCCGCTGCCGCTGCCGCCATCGTCCCCCTCGTCGTCGTCGGGGATGGCTTTCCCGCCGCACTTGCCGGCGGGCAACGAGATGTTGGAGGGGCCGGAGTCGGTGCGGTCGAACATGACGACCTTGTCGTTGTAGAGGAGCTGCATGTGCATGGCGGAGACCCCGGTGCTGGGGAGGAGTAGGTCCCATTTGCCTCCGCTTCCGGCGGCGGCAGCGGTGGCGAAGAATTGTTTCCGGTGGAGTGTTTGGGGCAGCAGAGAGAGGTGCCACAGGGCGAAGAAAAGGATAACTAGAGAAGACGTTATTGAAGTCATTTTGCTTTACGTTTTGGTTAGAATTATTTAATCTGTGTTTTGGTATGGCACTATTTATGGTTCAGTGTTGAAATATAAAAAATGAATTATGATGTTAGTGCATGGCAGATGTATTTGTAGTGTACTACGCAATTAAAACGAAAAGAAAAAACGGAAACACTTATTTAAAAATTAAAGGGAGAAGACTATCTTTTACCTCTCACCTAAATAAATTTGAAATTGGTCAAATTATTTTAATTTGTCTGGCTTCGATCAACTTTGAGAGAATAAATTATTTACAAGCAATTCTTTGGAACTATGAAGAGACGAAAAAACATTCTTTAGCTCGGGTACACGAGAATTTTTTTTTCTCGGTAGAAAAGTTTCGATGTATTTTTACTTTTCACCATTGCTTGAGAATTTTTCTCTCAAACATTGCTAGAAAAATTCTGTTTCAAACAAGGTTTAAAATATTATTTTTTTAAATTGATTATATTTATAATTTGATAAATAAAAACTATAAATTATGTATTTAGAAACTAATTCAAAAAAAGCTGAAAATTTAGTATTATGTGAATTTTTTATTTTATCAAATAAATAGAAAAAAACATATGCAAATAAAAGTTATCGTAAGTCTGAAATATTAGCAAATGCCAATTTTTTAGGGATGGAT